ACAGGTAATGAGGCTTCTTGGGCTCACTATGCAAATGCTAGGGTGGTGATCTTCATGAATGGACCTCCTACTAGAGTAGTGCAAAGGGAAACAAGGAAATGCTACCAAAGAACTGAGTCTATCACCAGGCAATCGAGGACAAGCTCTGCTTTATCTGGGATGTTCCTGCCGTCACCAGAGCTTATCTGGAAGGTTTCATTAAGGAGGTAAATGTGAAGTTGGGAAGCAAAGGTAAGTTCTGAGTACAATACCAAAAGAGAACACTAGCCAGTTACTAACTTCACCTGTGAACCACATAGTGAGACTATTTGACAATAATTCATTTGAAATTTCTCAAACTATTTTTTCATAGTCTCTACCTGAAACCCTTTATAAAAATAACTAAAATTGTTCAATCTTAGTAAAAGGCAATTACTGCAGGGTAAAACAGAAATAATAATGGCAGACTACACTGATTGTAGGCTTATTATATGCTAAAAACTTAACTAGTGCTCTCAAGGTCCTATGAAGAAACAACATATTTTTGTGGATTATGGATGAGAACATGGAGGTTTCAGAAAGGTGAAAATCTTGCTGTGGTTAAATACTCTGTATTTAATTACCCATCCTTGTTGGAATTGTTTACCCCTTTTTTAAAGTAGTGGTTCCATTTACTACTGAACAAATTAAACAAAACAGGTAACAATGAATTGGGACTCAAAGTCCTAACCTTCACTTTAGTATCATGAAGCCTTCAGAGTCAAAGTATTTGGAAATGACCGGATTATCTTAGTCACAGAGTGTATTCAATAATAACTGACTGAGTGCCAGTGCTGGCAGTGACTTTAACTGCTGTTGCTACATCCCTGTAGTATCTACAGGGATTTTTCAGTGACAGCCTGTGGAAAAGTAGTTGGTATTGTTCCTGCTGTTTCTAACTAAATCATTTTAACAACTCTAAATTTCAACCATTCCCCAAATGGCTACCAATGCCCTGACAAGTCCAAGGGAATCAGAAGCATTTGTGGCTTTACAGACAGTATCAGGCAATATAGATCCTGACACTGCTGCATGAACGCTTTCCCAGAACCCCAGCTTTCTTTGAATATTGCTAACTGACATACTAACCTACTCCAATTCCTTCCTCCAAGCAAACCTACCTCTCCTCCAAATTTTTCAATAAAGAGACAGACATGCTTACAGTAACTATTGAAATTTCCTATTTCACATGGAATACTTTTACAAGTTGTTCGATATTCTTTTTACAGGAGTCCTGTGAGAATTCTCATTTTAAAGACTAGGAAGATGAGATACAAAAATTGAGAGTCCTGAGAACCATCCATCTGCTGAATTTAGGGCCAGAATCTAGAGGAGAATATTACTGAGTAATAATCTTTATGAGCTATAAAGCTTTCAAAAGTAAATTAAGTGTGAAAATAACTGGCAACAATATTATCTAAAATATCTAATCCATATAGAAAAGGTTGGATGGAATAGTTCTCTAAGAGTAAGTAAACATTCTTCAGTGATTAAAAAAGAACAGGGCTGTGAAGGCCAGATTTTGGGACCCAGAACAACAAAACATCAGACTCATGAACTTGAGTAACACCCAGAACACTTTCAGCTCAGCTCCTGCCTTTATAAAGCTCACTTTCTTGTAGCACTGAGGAAGGACTTAAGCACAATGAAAGGCTTTACCTGTGTCCTATTCTCCACTCTATGTTTATAAAACTTAATTGTTTAGGTCCCAAGCAGACTGGCTTGCCAGTGTCTCTAGTCTTAGTAAGTGGCATCTAAAAATCCTAGTCTCCTCCTGATGAACCCATCAAACCAAACTTTTTGGGGAAGCATTTAACCCCCACCCCCCCACACCACACACACCCCAGCTTGGTTCAAAGCATTTCATGATATGGGCATAATCTGAGAAATGTCTTTAGAATCACCATCTAATCCTGTCCTAACAAATCACTTCACATACCAAATTCCTCTGAAGTTTCTACCTCCATACCACTCCACATTCTATGAAGTTCTTACAAGGTATCCTTTCTACCTATCTTCATCTGGCCTCTTCCCACAACTACAAAACTCAATGGAAATGATTATAGGAAGCAAAGAAGCTTCCCGCATTCTAGAGTCTCAAGTAAATCTAGTGCTTTTGGCTTCCACTCACCCTATACACTTCCTCAGCACAATGTACAAACTGTTAGCTTCGTTCACTCTGAAAATTAGATCAACTTTGTCCAACAGAATTTCCTGCAATTGATGGAGATTATCTATGTCTGCTTATATGGTACTCACTAAGCGTAAGTTACTACTGACACTAAAATGTGGTCGTTCAGGGCTGGCAATGTGATTCTGTGCAGAACATTTGTACAGCATGTATGAAGCCTTGGGTTCAGTCACCAGCACTACAAAAAATAAACAACCTGTGTGAAATGTAGCTAGTTCAGCTAAGGAGCTGAATTTTTTACTTTCATTCATATCTTAATTTAAATGGCCACCTGCTTCTAACTAGTATGGTGTCAAACAATATAACTCTAGGGATGCTGTCAGCTACCCCCAGAACTATGCTTGTGTCTATTTTCCTAATAAGCCCAAAGACTAGCAAGTAACAGGACTGAATGTTTGTTGAAAGAACAAGTGGATGTGCAAATATCTTCAAACATTTCTTCTATATCGTTGGAAAGTCAATACTCTAAATACCCCATATTCTAAACATTCCAGATCCCTATGTGAAATTTGGCCAAAGCCAGTCATATGTTATAAGGAACACCTCATTAACTAACATGGAAAAAACTCTGGGCAAGTCACTCATTTCTACTTAGGGCACTCAGCTTCACAATCACTCTTAAATCATTTCCAGATGACTTTTGAACAAATGATTATGCTGTTTATGAAACATTACAATAGTCAAGGCCACATCGTTTTGGAATGTTAAAATCAACTACATTGTTTTAAAAAGCAAAAATTAAGCTTTTTAATGTTTATATTAACCTGGAAAATAAATTTTCTTGAATGCCTAAACTATTGCCAGAGTATTAAATATTTCTGAAATATTCTTTGTAAATAACTTTCAGCTCCTAACTGATTTTTTTTTTTAATCCTATACAGTATCCAGAGTGGGTATAACAGCTTGATTTGATAGGCTTCATTCTTGTGACAGTGGAATAGAGAGAGAACATGACCTTGCTACAAAGAACTACCAATCAAACTCAATTTGGCTCCAATTAAAACTCTCAGTTGATAGAGCTCAAGAGGTTCACAAACGCTTAGTCATTTGAGATGTTAAGAAATCCAAGATGTGAAATTTCACAAAGCAGGGATTGGCCAGGTTCTCACTCCAAAATCCTTAAAAGTGTAACTGGTAATTGCAGGCATCAACAAATGTGGTCTGCATACAGCAGCCCCCTCCAGAGTGGGGAAGCTTCTCCATTTCCTGTCTGGTACATCATATATCCCACAGTGGCTATACAATGGCTGAGCAACCACTTGTGAATGTTCTTTGATTACATGAGTACTTCTGTAAAGAGATCCTAATCCTGAAGTGTAAAACTACATGTGAAAAAAAAAAAAATGGAAGCAGAAAAGTACCTTAAAGATTGATTATAGTGGTGAAGATAGAGACTTCAAATGCAATTAGCTCAAACAACATTATTTAGAGGCAACTAATATTCATTACATAAAAAGGCATAAATAAAACACACCATATACACCATACTCTTAAATCCTTTTACCTGAACATAATTTGCTCTTTATTCACTTTAAAAATGATAAAATACTAGCTAGCATTTATATAACATTCTGTATCATATGCCATAATAAACATTTAAGATATATATTTTGTATGTACCAGAATAATACAAAGGAGGGATTATTATTAATTACACCTTATAGTCAAAGACAGCAATCAGAGAGAGTCTAAGTAATTTGATCCAATTTTCAATCTTGTAACAAATAATCTCTGTTCAACTTTTGCAGTGAAAGCATTGAGTCCAACTAAGCAGTGTGGGAAGAAAAAAATTCTCTTTAATTTGATTAAGTCTTTAAACTGCTATTTCAATGAGGTAGGAACACAATCTGGGTCTTACTGGACTCTGACTCTATGCTGTAAGGGAGGGGCTGATCTAGGAGAGGCAGCCTCACTGACTTGGCTCTATTATTCAACACAGAGAGAGAGAGAGAGAGAGAGAGAGAGAGAGAGAGAGAGAGAGAGAGAGAGAGAAAGAGAGAGACAGACAGACATGATGTATAATGGAAATTTAGATCCCTTCAGGCCTGTGTCTTTTTGATGCTCACAGTATCGAACTGTAACCTTTCTACCACCCCATACCACATAATCCCTGAACTGGGGCTTATATTAACTGACTCTAATTTTACTTTCCACCAGGATTCCAAAAATATAATGCATAGTTTCCTATTCACAATGCAAATGACAAATACAGAAATTGTTCTTAAAAGTGCTCTAGGAGTCGTAGCGGGCTGCTGTCACACACTTTTACCCCCAAAAGGTCATGTGCAAATGGCCAAAGAGCTTTATTATCAGTTTCCTGCTTGCTGTTCACTTACTGGCAAAGTGGTCTGTTGATTCAAGACCCTGGAACACCTTGTGTTATTTCTCCTGGTTCTGTTACCCATACAGCAACTCCTTTGGCAACAACGGTAATTATGCAGGAGCCATGTTATCTCAGGATCACACTGTAATTAGCTTGTGTCACTGCGGCAATCATGGTTATAATAATTGCAGGGGGGGAAATGTCTTATGGAAGTAGCAGTTTTTAGTTCTGGCTTTCAAAAATAACTTCAGTAATTATACTGCTTAAAAAGCAAGTTTGTTCTCCCCCAACTCCCAAACATGACTCCCCTGCACAAAGCTCACTGAAACTAAGCTCTGAGAAGTTCTCAGACCGGAAACATTGGGCTCTCTCCATAGAAAGAGGTTCCAAAAAGGAGAAGAAATTACACGTGTACAAAAAGAAAGAGTAGAAAACACACGGATACACAATGCTCAAAGTAGTACTTACAGCTCCTCTAGAAAAGGGAAGTTCTTAAACGCATCTTCTGGTAACTGGGTGATATTGTTCATACTGATATCCCTGCAAAACATGAAGTTAGGAACAAGGTTAGCTAAGTAGTGGTTGTCATCAACTGCTAAGCCAACAGAAAACAAATTACATGAGCGTACAAGACAAAGGGGAACAGTCATGATCTGATTTTAGAATGAAATACTTAGAAAAGTTAACTCTTTCACTATGAATTATGTCTCATGATTTAGAAACATACCCCGGTCCTGGAAATACCCTCCTTTAGGTATTGTTTAGAAAAAAAAAAAAAAAAAAGCTTCAAACTACCTAGAACAAATGGGCTGGTATAGGTTTCCAGTGTCCTTGACTAGCAAGGATAGTCAAAGCCCTATACCTCACCAAAATAGGCAAACACACTCCAAGACTAGATCACATAGATCTGCGGATGGAAATGGCTTCCGGATTACAATCAAGGGCAATGAAAGCAAATCCTACCTCCATCCCAGTCAGATGTTCTTTAAAAACTATGAAAGTCCTCCAGGTGAGAGTTGTCAGAGGATTTCATTTTTAGCCTATGAGCAGATGTAGGCTAGAAACAAGTGCATACATGATAGGTATGTAGTCAGTTTAGAAAGGAGGGAACTCACTCAACAGGGTAACTCAACAATTAACCGGTTAAAACATACTTTATTAATCATTCCCCTCTTCCCTGGCAGCTGTCTTTGAATTGACTTTCTCTTCCATACTCCACTTGATATCAACAATGTGAAAGACATATTAACAGTCTTCTGAGGGAAAGTCCTGGCATGCACTGGGCCAACTGGGCAACTCTCTCAGCTTCCTCTGTCTCTTATCTGGAGGTAAATGAAGTAACTGAGCCCTTGGGTCCCTCTAATGCCAAAATCACCATAAAGTTCAAGCACAAAACAGTTCCGTTGTTGGGACTGTAAGAACTGGTAGGCAGAGGCATTAGAAAAATCATGTTTAATCTAAGGTCCAGCTGTCATCAATTCACCCAGACAAAGTCTTTTCAAAGTAAGACACTTTCAATCCCCCAGTACAGGAGTCACTCTGCCCCATCTTTCCTCTTGCCAAAATTCAGAAATGGGAATCGCAACCCTTTCTTCCTATCCTTTCCCAAGTCAGTTGTGGAAAATGTCCTGGACTGGGAATGACAGGAACAACAGTAGGAACAAAACCAGCAGGAACAGAAGCTGCAAAAAGGCAGCACATGCTCTCGGTGTAAAACCGCACGTAAAATCACCCTTGGCTCACTGAAAAACTGAGGCTTACTCTGGGGTAAGATAACCTCCCCAAGGCCAACAAGAGGAAGAAAATGTACATTCTATGATTTTAACTGCCAACTCAGCCTTCCTGTGTAATATTTAATTCCTATAACTCTCCTCAAGGCTAATCAAGAGAGAAAGCAAAGCCTGAATCCTACCAAGGTTAAAAATGAGGAAAGAAGGAGCTAGTGGGAACCTCAGTGACAGAGTGTATTTAAACATGTGTAAGGCCCCAGGTTCATGCCCCAGCACCAAAAGGAATGGAAGGAGAATGATGCCCTGAAGACCTTGGCATAGTCATCAATGTATCTTAGGCAGTGTACTTCTGCTTAAAAACTGAATAGAAAAAGAACTATAAATAGCTCAACAATTGAGGAGTCAAAGCTCCCATAAATTTCTCATAGCTTGAAATTTCCCTTTAAGTGAATCTTATTACCATACAGACTCACAAGCATTCCAAATTTTTCTAGCATTGAGAACAACTCAATCCTATTAAAGATAACTTAGAAGAAACTAGGTCCTTCTCCAGGAAGTATTATATTTTAAACCCAGGTCCCAATACTACCTAAGGTAGCAATCAACAGGGAGAAAAGGGGAAGGATCCTTTCTCACAAACACTTTGGCAAGTGTTAGAGAGATGGCTCAGTGGCAAAGAGCACTTGGTGCTCTTCCAGAGACCCTGGTTCAGTTCCCAGCTCCCACACGGCAGTTTACAACCCTCCGTAACTCCAGTTCCAGAGGATCCAATGCCCTCTTCTGGCCTCTGCAGGAACCAAGCATGCAAATGGTGCACAGGTATATATGCAGGTAAAACACCCATACACATAAAGTTAAAATTTAAAAAAATAATAATTTGGCAAAAGACTGGAGAAATACTATCAAAATAGGGGACAGAAAAGGAAGGCCCAAGTCTGACTACTGATACCCAACCACAATTTGATACTGGGCCTCTCTCTGCTTAACAGTAAAATGAAGCAGTTGAGTTAATCAGTTTGGGCAGCTTCCTAGTCTTTATTATATTATTATTACATAAAATTATATTGTTTCATGTTTCACCTTTTGCTGTAAGTTTATTTATCATGGAGGAGTATGTTTTTTTTTTAATTGAGAATATACACAGCTCACTTACGGATTTTTTTCTGAACAGTTTACCATGATAGACAATGTAAAAGCTTCTCCTTTAGAAAGCCACTCAATGACTTGTGCTGGAAACACATGAGTCTTAACCACCAAAACCATCCTTTTCGTTTCCAAAACCAATCTTAAGAATACATACAGATTTTAATTTGAAAGGCAAAGCAATAATCTCATACAAGTAACTAGTGATTCTGCAAAGTCATGCATTTTTGCTACTTTTTAGCCACTCTAACAAAAGGGAAATAAATTATTGATTTATTACTTTACACAGAAGCACCCCAAACTAAGGTTGGTATACCTGAATTTAGGTGAGTCTCACAGTATCAGAAAAACTAATGAACTGCTTCATCAGAAAAGGTCTGGAGGGACCCAATTAACCTCATGCCAAAGGTGGGGGGCACATATTGTAATTAGAAACCATTTATTTCAACATGTTTAACATGCTTCTCAGCATTCAGCATTTTATAACACACACACACACACACACACACACACACACACACACACACACACAGTGTTCTCACTTTTCCCCCTCAAAGTAACAAGCAAGACACAGCAGGTAGTTTGCTGTGAGCTGTAAATGCAATTAGTGAGACTCTGTATTTACAAACTAATGCATGTTAAACACACGGGAGGTTTTGTTTCTAAGTCCTTGGTCAGGAACAAGACTTCCAATATTCTAAGAGATTTTTCACACACAACCCTAGCAAGAGGCTCTTTTTTTATAAACGTTTTCTCTCACACTGTCTGAGCTACAGTTAGCAAATATCAAGGATAAAGTAAAACGAGCTGAAAGGAGTAGACCACAGATACTATCTGCAGAGCAGCCCTGGAATCCTGTGGTTACAGAGTAGAAGGTGGGTGGCTACCCATTTAAAATAATGAGAGCTAATGGCAATAAACAACCTACAGACTACTTACTAAGAGTAGATTCTAGACCTGACATCACCAACATCAGCAAGAGAATCCAAGCTGTACAGACTTCAGAAGTAAGAGGTTAGAAGGCACGCTGGCTGATGAGTTACACTGTAACTGTTCACAAGTGGAAGCCCTAGCCAGCAATTACAAATATATGAAAGTCACATAAAATACGTTAAGAAAAAAAAAAGCTACTCAGAAATCTTCAACTAGGGCTGAAGAGATGGATCAGTGATTAAAAATGATCGTTGGCAGCTTTTCCAGAGAACCTGAGTTCCATTCCTCACACTCACACAGAGGGTTTATAATCATCTGTAACTAGTGCCAGGGACCATGACCCTCTTCCAGCCTCCACAGTCACCAGGCACGCATGTGGTATGTAGACATACATGCAGGGGGAATACCTCCACACACAAAATAAGAAATAAATAATTTTTTTAAGAATTGTAAAGAAAGAAATCTTCAGCAACAAGCCACTCTCACAAATCAGTCAGTAACTTTAAATGGACTTGAGCAGCTCAATCTACGAGCTACATGTTACTGAACCTAGTAATTCACCACTCTAGATTCCCAAAATTCCCTACCCCAAAATAAATGTAACATGGAAGACAAAAGGAAAGTCATACAAGGTCAGTGCTACTCAGAAACATCACTGAAGGACAATTTCAACAGAACAGAAGGCCTCAGAGCCAGGCTGCTGATTAGAAATGCACCAGCTTCCAAGGCCAAAAGCCTGGGATTCACGGGTACTATACTTGCTGTGCGACCTTGGGCAGGCTGTTGAGATTTTGACATCTGGCTACTTCGTTGTTAAAATGGAGGCAGTAGGCATGTAAATGTAGACTGCTGTGAAAAATCAGAAAATGTCATCCTATGTCATAAGCTCACCACGTGATCGCTATTATCTTCCCACCATCTGTTTCGACTGTTTCTGGGAGTTCTCTGAATGCAGCAGACTGAGACAGGACTGAAAAGGAGGTGAAGCATCACATGGTTGGTGCCCTCCCAGGGAAAAAAAAAACCCTTACAGAAGAGAACAAGAGACCCTGAAGAGTAACACCCAGAAGTGAAAGCTGATCCAAAAAGTTCAACAAAACTCCAAACATCAGGAGTCAAACATCTTACTCTAGTAGAGCTCATCAGATCAAACACTTCACTGAAAACCAAAAACCAGTTAAGGGTCAAACACTGACTGCCACGCCCTTCTTAAGAAATTTTATTTTTTCAAGGGAAAAATTTCAGTGGGACAAAAAACAAGATCCTCTCTCAAAAAGATTAGGATGACTTTGAGCAGTCTGGTGAGAACGCTAGAGATAGAATCTAAAACTTAGTCTGGCGGGGTGGAGGGAAAAATCTTTTCTATACATCTTTGTTTTCATAACAGACAGAACACAAGTCTACACTGTCCACCCACACAGCACAATGCTCCCAACTTTTCACCACAGAGATGAGACACACAACAGTACAGCATTTCACTAAAAAAACCCCACACTTGAACACCCAAACACCAGCAGTCACAGATTTCAACATTACTGTTTAAAGGGTGCAGTTGTTCTCATTGAAACTGACAAAGCTAACATGGTTAAACTCTCGTCTTTTCTTTTTTTTCCCCTCCCATAAAACTCCCATAGTAATGCTGAAGCATCTACATTGCTTCACGTTTCCACATCCCGGATACCTTTGCAAATCTCCGTAACTGGTTCACAGGGAGCTTAACCTGTCGGTTGGTGG